TTTTTTTTTTTTTTTTTTTTTTTTTTTTTGAGACAGGGTCTCACTTTGTAGCCCTGGCTAGCCTGGAACTTGCTGTGTAGACCAGACTGACCTTTAAGTCTCAGAGATCCGCCAGCCTTTGCTTCCCAAGTGCTGGGATTAAAGATGTGCACCACTGGCCAGGCGTGGTGGCACACGCCTTTAATCCCACACTCCGGAGGCAGAGGCAGGGGGATCTCTGTGAGTTCAAGCCTGGTCTACATAGTGAGTTCCAGGACAGCTGGGGCTACAGGGAGACCCTGTCTCAAAAGACCAAAAGTAAATAAATAAATAAATTGTGTACCACAACCCAGCCGCAGAGGTCAGAAGAGGGCTTCAGATTCCCCTAGAACTGGAGTTAAGGATGGTTCGTAGCCACCATGTGGGTGCTGGGAATTGAACCTGGGCCCTCTGCAAGAGCTGTTGGTGCTCTTAACCTCTGAGCCATCTCTCCAGCCCCAACCAATTAATTTTTTACCAAGAAAAATTTTGTTACTGAATTTCTGTTTTCCATAGGAAAAAAAATTTAGCAGCATTAGAAAAGGAGCCCTTTTGTGTACTGTAAAAATTTTTGTTTCACTGGTGTCTTCTCAGTTCAGTTACTGATTTCTGTCGGTGTCTGAGGGAAGAGGAAACATGCTGCTTTTAGATGTCTGAGCAGAGTGCAGTCCACGCTGCAGGGAGTTGACAAAATGGTGATGCTTGAGATTATTTTTACTATATTTATATATTTTGAATTAGATTCTTGAACAGTAGACCACTATTTATAAATTTCTATTTCTTTGATGAGAGAGACAGAGACAGAGAAAAGAAAGGAAACTCTGCTGGGCATGGTAGTTCACACCTTTAATCCCAGCATTCAGGAGGCAGAGGCAGGTGGATCTCTGTGAATTTCAGACCAGCCTGGTCTACATAGCAAGTTCTAGATCATGTTGCTGGAGCTACAAGGAAGCTTTGTGGGAAAAAAGAGGGGGTAAACCATGAGGGGGAATGTTAAAACTGTGTGTGTGTGTGTGTGTGTCTTTCAGATATATGAATTAGAGTTCAAAGAAACAAGGGCTAGAAATCTGAAATTAACCTTACATCACCCCTGTGCCAAAGTAGTGGCATTTGTTCACCGTTCCTTTTCAGGTTAGAGCATTTCTTTGGTACCTCTAATGATACCCAGGCTTATCAGAGTAGGGCTGCTTAATGAAATGTCACATACAGGCCTGAAGGCCGCTTCCCTTAGAAGGAGCTTGAAATCTGCCTTGGTCTTTGGATGGTCATATTGAAAATGGTATTGCTCAGGCTCAGGAAGTAAGAGTGCCTGCTTTGAAAGTATGAGGACCTGAGTTTGAATCCTCAGCACACGTTAAAAAAGCTGGGCCTGGGCTTGAACTTGTCACTCCACAAATGCCGATGGTGGAGACTGGGGATTGCTAGCCACCAGCCTAGCTCTAGGTTCAATAAGATACTCTCAACATTCCCAACACTTAGTCTGCAGTAATGTAGATGTTGTTGCTAACAGAAAAAATTATCTCTCAGAAAAATGTCTAGAATTATGTCTCTTCTATAGATGTTCAGTGTAGGGAAGCTGTTTCCATTATTGCATGTAAAGGATATCAGAAACAGTGTTAGAGACATGGCACGTGCAATCCTGGTGGACAGAAAGGGAGAACCAGGAAGTGAGCTCCCATGTCGGCTTCTCTCCCAAGCACTGAGTCTGAAGGATTAATAATGTTTCTCTTTTTTTTTTTTTTTTTTTGAGACAGTGTCTTCCTGTAGCCCCAGCTAGCCTGGAACTTGCTATGTAAACCAGGCTAGCCTCGAACTCATAGAGCTCTGCCTCCCGAGTGCTGAGATTAAAGGCCTGCGCCACCACACTCAACCTAATCTTAATACCATCATTCAGAGAGTCTTGAGCACCTACTAGGTTCTGTAGGTAAAACTACAAAAGACAGGAATATCCTGTTCCTGTAGCCACTTGGAAAGAACAATATCTTCATTATGTCTGCATTTCTACTGAGATCAGAGAATAGCACGGTAAGCATTGAGACTTCTGTTTTTGCAAACTAATGGAGGTGGTAGAGTTTTCAGAATTTTGATTGGGGAAGGTTAAAACAGGGTATCACTTTGTAGCTCAGCCTGGCCTAGAATTTACCACGTCGGGGTTTATGCCTATAATTCCAGTACTCAGGACACCGAGGCAAGAGGATCACTGAATGTTAGACTAGGCTGGAGCATAGTGAGTTCCAGGCCAGCTTGGACTACCAAGTGAGACCTTCTCTCAAAAAAAAAAAAAAAAGAACAAAAACAAACCAAAACACAAACAACCTTTCTTTTTGACAGTGACATATTTTTAAAATCATAGAAAAGTGAATAAAGAAAAAACATAATTTATCAGAAAATGTTTTAATTGCCTTTTACATATCTTATAATAACCCCTGTAATAAAGTCATAAATATTGTGGATATAAATAACTGCATATAAATTAGGTATCCTGTCTTTCTTCTTTCTATCGAGATTGAAAAGTCTAAGCCCATTAAATGTGGAACATTTGGTGCAGCCTCATTACAGCAAAGATATTTAGCCACTGGAGATTTTGATGGAAACCTTCATATATGGTAAGATGTTTTAAACAGTATTCAGATTGAGAAGCAGTTCTTTAATGTGTCTCATTACTCTTTCAAAAAGAGAATTATAATTTTAAAATATTTATTTTAATGTCTTCAAAAATTATAAAATTATGAGGCTTATATGGGGTTTATTTATTTAATTTTATGTGTATGAGTGTTTTGCCTGCCTGTATGTAGGTGCACCCATGCCTGCAGTGCCCACAGAGGCCAGAAGAGGGCATCATATCCCCTCAAACTGGAGGTATAGACAGTTGTTAGCCACCATGGTGTGTGCAGGGAACTGAAGCCTGATCCTCTGGAGGACCAGCCGGTGTTCTTAACCATGGAGCCATCTCTCTAGCCAGCCCTGGCCCCAGATACACAGTCTTACTGTGTGTGCTTCCTTGTCTCTGATCCAGTTTTGTTTTGTTGTTTTTTAAATATTTTTTCATATTCTGTTTACTCTGTGTATGTGTGCATGTGTGTGTGTGTGTGTATACATGCATGTGTGCTCACACACACATGCACACATGCACGCACATATGGAGGGCAAAGGACAGCTTCTGGGAGTTGGTTCTCTCCTTACACAATATATGATCCAGGGATCAAACACTAGTCATCCAACTTGGCAGCAAGCACCTTTATTTGCTGAGACACCTCCTTAGCCCTCCTGTCCAGTTTTATGACCTACACATACATATATAGATACACATATAACATACACATTTATGTGTGCATTTATTTAATCTTAATTTAGCTTTCCATATATAAGAGGAAAAAAATGGTATTTGTCTTCCTCAAATCACCATAGTGATTTCCAGTTTAATCCATGCTTTCTGGAAATACCGTGATTTCATTTATCTTTAGGGCGGAATAAAACTTCATTATGTGTATCTATATCCATACATGCATTAATGGACATCTAGGCTGTTTTCAGTTCCTGGAGTTATCTCCTGTGCTATTAGAGTCCTTTTCAGACAATCCTTGCCTATACCTGTACCTTCAAGTGTTTTACTTAGGCTTTCCTCTAGCAGTTTTTAAGCTTCTATTCTTACATTAAGGTCTTTGATCCATTTTTAATTGTTTTTGTTTTGTTTTGTTTTGTTTTAATACAGGCTGAGAGATAGAATCTATTGTCATTCTCTGTATGTGCGAATTCAGTTTTCCCAATACTATTTGTTGAAGAGGCTATCTTTGCTCCAATGTGTATGTCAAATCTTTCTCAAAAATTAGATGGTAAAATTTAGAAGTAAATATGTAAATCACCTTTTACAGCAAAAATTCTTATTTTCATTTATTTATTCTAATTATTTATTATTTATTTTTGGTGCTTTGAGATAGTCTCCCTGTGTAAGCTGTGCTGGCCTGGAACTCTGTGAGGCCCAGGATTGCCTCAGACTTGGTATCTTGGGCTGTCCTCAGACTCATGATCCCCCTGCTTCTGCCTCCCAAGTGGTGGGATTAGAGGTGTGAACCACCACATTTGGCTCAAAAAGTCTAATTTTTAAACAAAAATTTAAGTGTAATGTACATTCTTAAATTTTAGTAGTTGGCTTCAATGTTTAGGACATGTGTAAGTACCTATTTTTTTGTTTAGGAATCTGGAAGCTCCAGAGATCCCAGTGTATTCTGTAAAGGGCCACAAAGAAATTATAAATGCTATAGATGGTATAGGTGGACTTGGAATTGGGGAAGGAGCACCTGAAATTGTGACTGGTAGCCGAGATGGTGAGTTAATGGATTTTAAGTATTAAAAAAAAACTAATGGAAATTTGTGCAGTGTGTCCTCTCTCCATGGAGATCCCCTTTGGTTGCCTTGACGCTTGTGCACTTATAGTGTGATAGACAAGTTTGATTGCTTATCCCTTGTTTGTTTCAGGCTTCTGTATATTTTTAGATAGAGTATTTAGTGTTGAGTTACTTCAACAACTGCAAGGATAGTTTCCTCTGAATTTTGAAGAATTTAAGATGTCTTTACAGATTATTGAGGCAGCTGGTGGTGTGATACAGTTGCAGCTCTTCGTTTTCTTTTCAAAAGCAGAAGTACTAATACTTGTGGACATGTGCTGTTGATAGCTGGATGAAAACTGATGTTCTGTAACCTCACACTGGGCACTGTGAAAGTGCCACAGCCACCAGCTTGACTTTTGACTGTAGTGGCCAACAGAGGACAGGTCTGTGGTCCATCTGGACTGAATGACTCTCAAGGGGACAAAGTTATTCTTTCATAGAGGGTAGATCTGTTAGTTGTTTGAAAAGGATTTTTATTTTTATTTTTTGATCTTTTTGAGACTGTATCCCTACCTGGCCTGGAACTCTTATGTAGACCATGCTGGCCTTGAACTCAACAGAGATCCACCTGCCTCTGCCTCCTGAGTGCTGGGATTAAAGGCATGTGCCACCACACCCAGCTTTGAAAAGGATTATTTTAAAAGAAAAGTGAGACATAATTTTCTAAATACTCAAGAGCAGCTATGTGTAAGAAACCAAATTTTTTCATAAAAGTAATGCGTAATATAGAAGGAAAATTGACATGCAATTTATTGTACTGCTACAACCGTCATTTTTTTCTTTACCTTTCTAACTTTATGTTTTTTTTGTTTTTGTTTTTGTTTTTGTGTGTGTGTGTGTATGTGTGTAGCAGTATAAATATGATTGTGTATCTTCATTTAATATTTGTTATCTGAAAATGTTTGTATTTCCACAGCATTATTTTAGTAAGGCTGTAAACATGTCATTGTACACTCCATCACACTAAGCTATTCTTCTGTAATAACCATTCAGCATGCTTTAAGTTTTTGCTTCTTATTAGAAGAGTGGCTTAAAATAATGATAATTGATTATTGTTATGTAATTAAGTCTGTGGTAATGAACATTTTACGATTCCTAAATGTACTGCCAAATACTTCATAGTACCTGTTTACCTAGCCACCTACAGGGTTGATTTCTAGCACTCCCTTCTGACGTTGATTTTCTTTCTCTGTAAGTTTATAGATTCTTCCCACTTGTGTTAATGTCTGTGCTTGCCCACTAATTAATTTTGTTTTATGAATTGCCTTTTTGTTTTCTTTGCTGATTTTGTTATGGAAAACTCACTACAGATCATAACAATTTGTATAAACCCTGAAGAGTAAGATCTCATGTCATATTTGTGGGAATTTTTTTCCTCCATATAGGATAGGAACCCTTTTTTTTGGAGTTCCAACATTTTCTTTTCTAGGAAACACTGAAGGGGGGTCAGCAGAGAGATGAGAGAAGTGAGATGGACTCTTCATATGTCCCCCCACTACCAGCTGAGTCACACCCCCCAAATCTACTTCTTGGATGTCAGGGAAGTTGCATTTGGAGACAGGAGTCTTGAAGATGGCATGGGGTCAGTGATGCTATGGGGGGTGGGGACGGGTCTCACTTCAGAAAGACAACGGCGCTTGGAGCTGTGGGATGTTCACTTCTGTTACTCAGTAGCATATGGTCCAGCTGCACCCGAAATGGATCCCTGCCCTTTCGTAAAGTCTCTGAAAACAGGTTCATTCCTGAACAGGGCCTCTGGGGTGGAAGGTTCTGGCTCCAGCTTCACATTTAGAGCCAGCAAGACACCCAGACATGCGGTGAGGCTGCCCTGGGAACCCGCCCATTCCAGATCATGAGCATTTATGTGAAAGGTCAGTTAAAACCAAGAAACCAGAGGAAGGCCAGGTGGGGACACTGGCCATGCATCGACAGCTGCTGAGACTTGGGAGAGAAGTCGTTCAGACTTCAAAACCTTTTCATTAAATAGACAGACCCCACATCCAAGGAGAGTCCAACCTGGGGAGATTTCCCAAGGACATGCAGGACAAAGTCCCTGGAGCTGGGGCTGCAGAGCCAGAGGCTGCAGAGCCTGCTCTGGATAACTGCTCCCTAAGATGGCGTCCTTGCTGGCTGAGGGCTGGAGCTAGTCTTTGTTCTTTTTCATCTTTTGATGGAGACACAGAAAACAGAGTCAGAATCTCCCGGAAAGAGATGAAGTGAGGCCTCAAACTCAGCCAGGTATTTACACACTGAGTTTTCAAAGGCCTAACCCGATGGGGAATCACAAGGCAAACAGTGGAGGAAGGAGGGAGGGGAGGGAGGGGGCACATCAGGACTGGAAGCCTGTGGCCTCCCTGGGGAGGCATCTCCTTGGGAAGGCAATGGGGATCGATGGAGAGCCACCAGGGTCAGCTGCTGTCACTCCACATCTTTGTACTTGGTGAATAGGTTGTAAAGGACCCGCAGGGTGGATTTGAGGTCCAGGTTCACCACATCTTCAGGGCAAGCCTTGGGTTTCTTGAGCCCTCCATCCAACATTAGCTCAAAAGCAAAGGCAACGTTGTGGACCTTCTGGTCGAAGCTCTGGTCCCACCCGTCCCCACACCCCACCCGAGCTGAGAGCTGCTGGAAGCGCAGGGCAGAGGGACTGCCTACCTGGGTCTCCAGGTCAGTCACCTCCAAGTTCAGCTTGTTCAGATGTTTGTTCACAAAGGTGATGAGAGACTTCTTCACCAGGTTGAGCTTGTCAGGCGCATGGTTGAAGAGTGTGTCAAAGGCATCCCGCTCAAATCGGCCCATCATCATCTCTGTGGTTGTGGTCAGCTCCTCTGAGATGTGGCTGGAGTGCAGCAGGCCTTCCCGTTTCCTGACGACCACCACCTGCACGGTGACATGTTCAGGAAGGCGGATGGGGGCCCTGAAGTGCAGGGCCAGGGAGATGAGGAGGTGGAGGATGGCCACCAGGTTCTTCCCGTGAATGGAGTCTACATTCCAGCTCAGCGGCCAGCCATGGGGCCGCAGCAGGTCCCTCACGGCTTCCAGAACTGTCTGCAGCTTCTGTTTCTGTCCAATCTCAGACTGTGTCACCTCAGCCACGTTCAGCTTGCACCCCGCCAGTTTTTCTAGAAGCTTCTGCAGCACCTGGCCATCGTACAAGTCTTCCTCCAGCTGTTTCACATTGATGCGCTCCTCTGCCAACACGTCATTGATCCAGTCCAGGAGCACCTTGACTAGCTCCTTGAACTTGGGGTCGTCTCTGGATGTGGGGTCAATCATGGTACGCTCTTCATTCTCCTCTAGCTGGGTGTCTTCAGGGTGGACGTCCACCAAGGCGGGGGTCATGGGCGAGTTGATGGCGCTCTTGCCTTCTTCCTCGCCAACGTGCCGCCCAACTTGCCCAGGAAAGACTCGTCCTTCTTCATCCTGGGGGCCCGCGGGGTGGGCGATCGCGGTGGCGCGGAGGACATGGGCGAGTGAGCGGAGGACACGGGGGAGAGGATAGGAACCTTTTTAATGACCAGCTTTATCCCTGGAGATAAATCTCAAATTTATTATCTTTTTCGGGAATTTATTTGCCCTTCCCTGCTTTCTCAAATATATGCCTTTTAGCCATCTTGTTATATGCATTTGTACTTATAGGCAATGACACTGTTATTCTAGAACATGAATATTAGTTATCAGGGAACTGAAATTAACTTTAGGATTGTTAAACATGTTAAGGCATGATTAGAAATGTACATTTGTGTGGGTTAGAGACATGGCTCAGTGGTTAAGAGCATTGGCTGCTCTTGCAGAGGACCTGGGTTTGGTTCCCAGTACCCACATGGCAGCTAACAACTATCTCCTAACTCCAGTTTGAGGGGATTTGACACTCTTCTGACTTCCGTGAGCACAGCATGACACAGGTGCACCTACATACATGCAGACAAAACCCTCATAAAAATAAATTTTTGGAAAAGAACTGTACACTTCTATTTGCTTTGTCAGTCATAAATTGCAGATAACTTGGGAATAATTGTTAGGGTTTTCTATGTGTATCTATTAATTTAGAAATAATGTCAGATGCTAACATATAGGTTATATGTCTGGTATCAGCCACAACTTAACCAATTAGAAGTCAGAAAAATATGAATCTTTTTCAGATGTCATGCCATCTATAATATTAACATGCATATAGGAAACCATGGAAAAAGAATGGAAAAAGGAAATGTGATCATTGACTATTGAATTTTGCCAACTCACTTTTATTCATGACAGGAACTGTGAAGGTATGGGACTCAAGGCAAAAGGATGATCCTGTTGCTAATATGGAGCCTGCACAGGGAGAAAACAGGAGAGACTGTTGGACTGTGACATTTGGTAAGCTGTTGAAGAACTTCTGCATTGAAGTTCAGATGGTAACAAGCAGTGTCTTAGGAGATTCCCAGGAGTGTTTTCGAAGTCGGTTTAATAGACGGATATTGAGGCAGATGTAGCTAATGCCATTAGTAGCTGATGCCAGTCACTAGGCCATGGTTTGAATCTTGACTGTGCTACTTATTGTGTGGCTTGGGGCAAGTCACCAAACTTCCCTGTTTCTTGGTTGTTATAGTTCCAAAGCGAAGAGAATTTGCTTAGTAGTGTTGAGTGAGGAGTCAGTGTGGTAATAATGCTAAAGGTCCTAGAACATGCAGAGAGTGTTAAGTGTCAGAAAGTATTTACTATTATCATATGATTTTGTGTAATTAGATAATATTAACCTAGTTTAGTACCACATGCCATTAACGGAACTAAGTAGAACCTCAAATGCCAATGACAACCTAGCAAATCTTACTTTTTACATAGTATGCTTTCTAGAAAACAGTTATGCCATTATGTAATTATTTCTTTTATCTTTTTTTTTTTTTTAAAGTCTTTTTGAGACAGGGTCTCCCTGTAGCCTCAGGTAGTCTGGAACTCATTATGTAGACCAGGCTGGCCTTGAACTCACAGAGATCCATCCACTTGCCTTTGCCTCCCAAATGCTGGGATTAAAGGCATGCGCCATCACACCAGGTGTAATTATTATGTTTGAGAATCATGACCCTTATTAATATACTTACAATGAATAGTGATCTTATCTATTAATGCTTGCCTTCAACTGCTATATAGGCCATATTTGTTTCTTTGTATTTATTTATTTTATTATTTATTTATTTATTTTGATTCAGGGTCTTACTATGTAATTCAGAGCCCAGGCTACCCTGGAGGTTACAATCCTGCCTTCTGTTCTTCTAAGTTGGATTATTATTTATGTTGCAGTACTGAGAGTCAGACCCAGAGCCTTGTACATAATAGGTAGCTATTGAGCTACATCTCTAGCCCTTGAAAAAGTGCTTGGTTTGTCTTTTTATTCTTTGTTTTTTGTTGGTTTTGCTATTGTTTGTTTTGTTTGATTGGCATAGTCTCACTAAGTGGCTCACTGCTCTGCACCTGCATTCCTCCTATTTTGGCTTCCAGATAGTTGGAGTTTCAGCCATAAGCCACCGTGCCCCATTTGGACTTTTACTGAATCAGACAAAAGTTTTAGATTCCTAAATTTCATTGTCTGAAAATTCTTGGGTTTATAGATGAACAATAATATAAAGTTCTTACTTTGGGAGAAGTTTTCAGGATTGGTATTTAGAATGATTTTTTAAAAATTATTTTTATGTTTTTGATTTTTTGTTTTGTTTTCTCGGGTTTTTTTGTTTTGTTTTTGTTTTTGTTTTGTGTGTGTGTGAGACAGAGTCTTTGTAGCCCTGTCTGACTTGGAACTCAATTTGTAAACCAGGCTGGCCTTGAAAGCAAAGAAATCCACCTGCCTCTGCTTACCGAGTGCTAGAATTAAAGGCATGCACCATCACACCCGCCTAAAATTTAGTTTTATTTGTGTGTGTGTGTCCGTGCATGTATTCCACATGGAGGTCAAAAGAGGGTTTCAGATCCCCTGGAGCTAGAGTTACAGGCTATTGTGAGCTGCTTGATGTGGGTGCTAGGAACCAAACTTGGGTCCTCTGGAAGAGCAGCTCTTAACTGTTCAGTTGTCTCTCTAGATTTTAGAATTTTTTTTTTTTTGTATTGACACATTTTTATTTAGTGTTATTTAACAAGCACACATTTAATTTAATCAATCATTGCATTTAATCAATAAAGTTCTTACAAGATACATGATTCTGGAGGTTGTGACCAATTATCAAATGAAGTCAATTGACCTGCTGATTGTAAATGATTTTGTAATCCTAGCATGAAAGAATTGAACAACAAGTTTAAAAGTTTAAAATCTCTCTCATCTTTTGCCTCCATTAATAACCTTGATCAACTCACAGGTTGCTCATCCAGTATAGACCTACTTTAGAATCATTTGCTTATTGTTACCCTATCATTTTTCCACTACTGAGTTCATGAAAATAAATGGTGTATGAGTTCTGTATGTGTTACGTAGTTACCAGGGATCACTGTGGAAGAGAAGAAAAAGATTGTAAGAGCCAAAGGGTACAGATGACCACAAGGAAACAGTTTTCCAGAAAGCTGGTCCGTTACTCATATGACCTCACAGCAGTGGTGACAGCATGCACCAGTGCTGTGCAAGCTCAAGTCAGACAAAGTCCTATCATAGACATGGGAAAGTGGGTAAGAAATTCCAGCCCAACCTAAGGAACTTTTGGCTGTTAGGAGGGGGAAAGACAGTGTCTGTTACAAGGATTAGACTCTTGGTGGGTCCAGTGGATGAAGCCACACTGTATATATGTATGCATGTATATATATATATATCATATATATATATATGATATATATGTATATGTGTAATACAGATTATATACATAATAATATATGCATATATATGTGAGAGTACATTACATTGGTCAGGGGGAAGTAGGAGGAAGTGCAGATGGGGGTCGGCACTCTAAATACCATAAAACTATATGAAAAAAATCACAAAAATTAAATGAAATAAAAGAGTAAACAGCAGACATGTCTGTAAGAATTTGAGGAAATGATTGAATGAGTGGATTGTCTGGTATACCTGCAGGCCCTGTTTTGCTTTCACTACATACTAACTATTCCTGAGCTTGGAGTCCCTGTTCCTTCACAGTCAAAGAGGCCTCATGTTGTCCAAGCATCATAAATAGAAATTATGCTTAAGCCAGGCGTTGTGGCTCACGCCTTTAATCCCAGCACTCGGAAGGTAGAGGCAGGCGGATCTCTGTGAGTTCAAGGCGAGCTGGGGCTACAGGGAGACCCTGTCTCAAAAAACCAACCAACCAACAAAAAATTACATAATGTAATGTAATAAGGTCTCAGTGTTCTGGTAAACTATGTGTTTGAATTAAATACATTGCTTATAGATGGGTTAATAAAGCTTACTTATTTGAGGAGAAAAATCTACTTTTGAAAATGAATGATTTTTTTTATTTTAATAACCACATGATTAGAAGAAGCATTTCAACCCAGCTTTAACACATTCAATAAAAATTTCCAGAGCAAAGATTCATCTCTTTAAAAAGTGGCTTTAAGTTTTTAGGTTCACAGCTGAATTAATACAGTTATACAATATTGAACTCAGTATAAACCCTGTAAGACATAAAAATTGAATGACCCTTTAACCTTTAAAAAAGATCTCCATTTCATTTTAAAATATACTATCTCCTACAGAAAGACTCATTTTTAATGCTACTAACACTTAGATGTTTGCACATGCGTCTCTAATCTCTACGTATCTGATTATTACTAGTCACAGTTGGTTACACTTGGATTGATGGACCCAAGTCCCCCCAAATGATGGACCCAAGTCCCTCCAAAATGATGGATTTAAACTAAAATCCCCCAGGCCTGAGAAAAACTGTACAAGGAAGTAAAAATGAAAAATAATTCTAAAGAACAAGCTGAGCTGACCTTTTTCATGCTCCTTGCCCAAGCTGGAAATCATCCCAGAAATTCCCCCTACCTCTGCTTGGCACATAGCCACCGCTTTTCTGCTTGGCACATAGCCGCCGCTTGTCTTTAAAAGAAACCTGTGAACTGGGCTCTGGGCTTCTGTCCTCCGAGTGAGGTAGGAGTCCGTTTTGCAAAACGCCAATAAATCCTCATGCTTGTTGCATCTCCTGATTTGAGGACTGAGTTATTGGGGTGCGACCTCCCGTGAATGTTGGGTACCCCAGTCTGGGGGTCCAACAGAATAAGGTAGATTTCAATGGTAATGTTTATCACCTCTACTAATTACCATGAAGTAAGTTTTTGTTTCTTTGTTTTTGGTCTTTTTGAGACAGGGTCTCCCTGTAGCCCCAGCTGTCCTGGAACTCACTATGAGGACCAAGCTGGCCTTGAACTCACAGAGATCCACCTGCATCTGGCTCCAGAGTGCTGGGATTAAAGGTGTGTGCCACCACACCCGGCTGTGAAGTAAATTTTTATGCTTTCTCCTCAAACATAACTCATTTCTTTGTTGATTTTTTGTGTGTTTATATCATACAGAACATCCCAAAAAATCTTAATCATCTACCCACTTCCCAAATGGCACCCCTGCCTCCCCAACTGGAGCCCATGTACTCTGTCATCCCTGTTACTGTCCACTGTGTTGTTGGCACCCCCAGCCATTCCTCAGTGCTTGTCCATCACTGAATCTAGTCAGCCTATCTAGAGAGCCTTGTTTTAGGAAGATCAGCTGTTCCTCATCTAGCCGCAATCAGTTGTTAATATTCCTTTAGATAAGATTGGGATCCACTGTTCATTTTCCCAGTTCTATGCTGGGTTACTGTCTGGGAGTCTCTTGGGCCACCCTGGCCAACAACTCAAAGGAAGGTATCTCCTGTCTGGCATTGTTTCTTGTTTTGTAGCCTTTAGCTATACATATGGACTCTTAAGAAATTATATTGACCCCCTTTAATCTTTGGTTATACTTTCATTTTGGGTGTTTACGATCCTACAGTTAGCCCAGATAAACCAAATTATTTTTACTCTTAAGGTCATTTGAGGATCTGTTCCTCAGGGGTCACATGGGCTTGGAAGGAGCTCCTGGCTCCTTTCTTTTACTAGTTCCATCTATGTGAAGATAAGTCAAAGGTCCTGCTCAACCTTGGCTGGCTTTGCTTGGAAACATGGAGGAAATGTTGCTTCTGTGTTGACCCTCCTCTTTGTAGACTGGACACTGATTGATGTCCATCTGGTGGGGTCTCCACACCCTTAGTTCCCTGGAACTTAGTCAACCTAGGAGGGCAAGGAGCAAAAACTGTCCTTTATGTCCCTCTGACCAAATTAGCTAAATAAGCCTCAAAGTATGGCTGTTAAACATCCAAGAAGGTTAGTTCCACCAGTCTGATACTTTTAATTGCCATGTGCCATGTAGATAAATCTTGGGCAAA